AACCTTAGCACTTCTTCTCGTAATTGTCCAGGCACCACCACCTGGTGTATTGTCCCATCAATTTGGTCATGAATTCTCCGCATGAGAACACCATCCTGTATACTGAGACGGTCCCACTGACTCAGTATTTTCTTTGTTTCTCGACCAAATTGTTCTCTTTCCCTTCTTCCTGGGAATTTTTGTTCCTGGACGTGTTTCAACAGCGGCTGTAAGCCACTATCCGTTCTCTGGGCATCTCTTATCTCTTTGTGATTAAGGCAACTAAAATCACCAATGTCCATATGTCCGGGCTCTGTGGAAATGTGCTCCACCCCGGTCTGTCCGTTCTGCCTCACTTGCACCCCGTGAGGGATATCTGTTGACGCTCTGACCTCACATATTCCTGTCAGCGTTTCTTCCTCATCGCCCGGTCTCTCGTAAGGATTCCTTGATAAGGCGTCCGCATTGCCATTGGACCGCCCCGGGCGATATTTTATCTCTAGGTCAAAGAGTGCCAATTCTGCTGCCCATCGCTGTTCGATGGATCCCAACTTTGCTGTCTTTAGGTGACTCAAGGGGTTATTGTCAGTGTATACCACACATTTAGCACCTAATAGATAGTCCCTGAATTTTTCCGTCACAGCCCATTTTAATGTCAAAAGTTCTAGTTTCATGGCGCTGTAATTTGTCATGTTCTTCTCTGATTCCTTCAGAGCTCGACTGGCATAAGCAATAACCCTGAAGCCTTGCTTTTGTTGTTGTGATAGCACAGCTCCCAGACCTTTAGAGCTGGCGTCAATTTCTAGCCGAAATGGTTTGTCAAAGTCTGCGTATCCTAATATCGGCGCCTCTGTCAAAGCCTTTTTCAATAGCTTAAACGAGTTCAGGCATTCCTCAGTCCATAATTCACCTATCCGTTGTGTTTTACCTTTCTTTTTCTCCTTACTGTGTTTCTTTGTCATTTTGTTTACCAAGTCATGCAATGGTGCGGCAATTTTTGCAAAACCAGGCACAAATTTTCTATAATAGGAAGCAAAGCCCAAGAATGATCTGACCTCTACTGTAGTTGTTGGCTGTTTCCATTCTTTAACAGCTGCAATTTTATCTGGGTCAGTGGCGATGCCATCCGACGAAATCACGTAACCCAAAAAATGTACTGATTTCAGACCGAAGCAGCATTTGTCTGGGTTCAGCTTTACTCCTATCTCCCTAAGACGGAGAAACACTTGTTCTAATCTTTCTAGATGGTCCTCCCAAGTTTTTGAATAAACTAGTATATCATCCAAGTACACCAACATTATTTGAAATAGAAAGTCACTCATAGCACTCTGCATTACTCGCTGGAATGTAGCAGGTGCATTAGTTAGACCAAACGGCATACGGGTCCACTCGTACAGTCCCAGTGGAGAAATAAATGCAGTTTTATGTTGATCGTTGGGGTGCATGGCCACTTGGTGGTAGCCACTAGCCAAATCCAAGGTAGAAAAAAATCTTGCTCCCCCCAACGCATCAAGACATTCATCAATACGAGGCAAGGGGAATGCATCCCTTCTTGTGATATTGTTCAATTTCCGGTAATCACAACACAGTCTTATCTCCCCTGACTTCTTTTTTACCACTACTATCGGTGCCGCATACGGGCTAGTGCTGGTTGTAATAATTCCCTTTTTTAGTAGATCGTTCAGGTGTGCTTTCACCGCAGAGTAGTGACTTGGTGGTAATCTTCGATAAGGTTGCGCCACCGGCTTGTCTTGTAGTAAGGGTATCTGGTGTTTTAATACTTCCGTGTAACCCAAATCACCCTCGTACGAGGCAAATATATCCCTGTACTTATTCAACAATTCATTTAGTTTTGGGTCCTCAGTTTCCGGGAATGTATATGATCGGCCATCCTCTTTCTTCACCTCGGCCGTCACATTGACCGACCTAACTGTTACTTCATTACTGCTGGTATTGCTCAGTTCGATGCACTGTGCCGACCTTTGTACCTCGACGTTCTGTGGTACTCCTACCAGAGTATTAGGCGGTATAAAAATTTCCTCATCCAAAACATTTGCCACTAATCCTTGAACTAGTCCATTTTCCGCTGATGTGTATGTCCGCAGTAACACGACGCCTGCCCTCAGTGCGGCGCCACATGGTTCTATCATCACATCACCATTCACGCTTCTATCACCAATTTGTAATGTGATTGCCTTGACCGTGTTTGCCGGGACTGATATCCTTCCTCTGGTCTTGGCAAACCTGGCCAACTTGGATCCCCGACCTGGTGTGGTCGATCCGACAATATTTGTAAGAAATTCTGGCAACTGGCCAAGAATATTCATGCCCAATAGGCAAGGTATATTTGACACATTTGTTTCTAGGTTGTGTTTCGTAACGAACACCCCAACCTGCTTCAACCTATGTCCCGCCACCACGACATCCGCCAGAAAATAACCACAGTATGGAATGGTTAGTCCATTAGCTGCCGTCAGGCGCATGCATGTGTCAGACCTCAACCTATGGTCTTTTCCTTTCATCCATTTGGTGTAAAAATTTTCCGTGATTGTCGTCACCTGGGAGCCTGTATCCACAATTGCCTTCACCGCGATGTCCCCAATCGTAATCACCATTTCGGGACAGACTCCCATCATTTTGCTTCTTGGGCCATAACCTCGCCCCTCTGTAGCCTGGCCCTGCCTTACAGAGGACGACCGTTTCCCTGGCAGTACCGTGCCATATGTCCGGGTTGTGAACAGGACAAGCAAATTGGTCGACCGTCAGCCGTCCACCGGAGTGATGGACCGGCGGGTCGCGGCCGTCCAACCTGTCTCTGTTTTGTCCCGTTCTTTTCCTGATTCTCAGCTGTTGACCTGCTTTCTAACCTCTCCAATCTTTGGTCAACCTTATCCAGGTGGGCCAACAGTTGAGCCATCATGGTTTCCACCGTGCCGGTCCCCGTGGGTGGGGATTGTTTCTGTTCCGGCACAGAGACTTTGTCCACCGAACAGTTCGATTGGTCCTCATCCTCGGACCTGCGGATCGCTGAGTTCCTGACCTGAAGGAAGGTCAACTGCGGGTCTTTGTGGACCTCCTCTTTCAACTCTCTCCTTAAGATCGGGGTTGCTAGCCCCTCGATGAACTGGTCCCTCAGTAGGCGTACATCAATGTCAGGTGTTTTGCCCTTTACCGAATCAAAGGCCCTGTTTATTCGGTGTGAATACTCCATCACACTCTCCGCCATTCTCTGCTTTAAGCCTACGAACCCCGATAGCAGTTGCGATCCCGACCGTCTCTCCCCAAAGGTCTCCATAATTAGATCCAGCACCTTATCTGGATCTGATTGGACGGTTTTATCGTGGCATTTGACCTCTGCCCTAACCGTTTCTCCTATACTGCCCATCAGCAGTCTTAATCTTTCCTCTGGTGACATGTTTCTCGAGGCCCAGGCCGCTTTGACCTCCTCACTGAACCTGTTGGTTAAAGTTGGATCACCGTCCCCGTAAAATTTGTTAATGTGGGACTCTCTGGGCAGGACCACAATATGGGTCTGCTTCTCGTCCAGAGTAGACATTTTATTCCTTTAGTAAAAAAAAAAGAGTTCTTTCTTACCGTGTGTGTATGAAAAATTTTTCCTCGTTCCTCAATTTTCACTGTTCCTGAATGTCCGAATTCACACACACACTAAACACAGTTATAAACTAGGTTGACTATGGGTGCCTAAAGCGGCAAGTCTCGTTGAATTCATCCTGGTCGCAGCGCCAAATGTAACGAGTCCCCGAGTCTATCCTGCCGACAACGCCAAATGTAACGAGTCTCTGGCTACCCTGCCGACAACGCCAAATGTGACCTTCCCGAGTCTAACCACTCATTCCACACAACATTGACCACAGCATAGATACTCGAAGATGCAGGTTCATTATTGATCCTTTTATTACATGAATCAAAGAATGCTTCACAATAATATAATGAATCAAGAGAGATGTTTCACAATAATAGTCTGAATCAACGGACCCCCAACAGTCCTCACTAGGCTTCATCTAACTGAATACACATGTCTAACGTCCTTCCTAACACAATACGGCTAACCCGTTCAATAACCAACTGCCACACTGACTGACTGATCGAAAGCGAGCGAGAGAGAGAGACTCCCACGAGCTCAGCCGTCGCCTTCCTTATTTATCCCCCTCATATCCGTAATCATATTCGGTCCTATCATACTCGTAATCGTAATCGTTGCATTACGCCGCTTCTGTTGTACAGTCCGATTTAATAAGCCATCTGCATCCTGTCACATCAAAGTTGACAGACCGTCTTTCGTATCGCTTCCCGAGATACTACGCCTTGGCTTTCTGATCGTTATCAGCCACCACCTGTGTTATTGCATCAGTCGTGTCAAAGTTGACAGCGCTGTACCGCGTTCTTATGTCTGGTAACTTCCCCTAGTTACATATATATATATATATATATATATATATATATATATATATATATATATATATATATATATCCATATATATCCATATATATATATATATATATATATATATATATATATATATATATATATATATATATATATATATATAGGCATATATGCGTATATTTTATATTTAGAAGGTTTACTTTCAAAAAGTCCCATATGTAGTGGCTACTTTTTATTTCGTTTGAACAAGGGGATTAATTTGACTTAAACTAAAAAGATCATTGTTTACAACCCAAAGTTTCTGTTTATAGCCTAGAATATATCCATTCAATGAATTGTCTGTTTAGTTTCGTTCACTAAAATAAGGGGCCAAATAAGAACAGAGAACTTGAAGGCGGAATGCACATTATAGTCTCATCAGCCAGGCTCTGTAACTTACCCATCCCTCGCTGGTTAAGTAACACACTGATAAGTCGTCTGCAACGTTTCTACCTCTGCCTACTGCCCCGCTCCGCTCCATCGACCACATTTGACCCCATTTCTGCATGGAGCACTGTGTTTTGTGTCAAGTTTACGTTTTTGGTGTGCGGCCAAGCGACTTGTTAGTGTGTAGCTCGGCTGGCTGCTTGATGAACTAATTAGACCATATGTGGGTAAGATGCTGCTTTTTGTTTCACTTTCGACAGTATGTAAGTTAATGCGCGTGTTGTATGTTTATCCTTTAATTTCTTGTCTATTTTTTATTAAGTAATATTAATTTCAGATAGACCTATAGTAAGCCCGTTATAGATCAAATACCGGCGTATATGGTCAAATGTAGACTTGCGTTGTAATCATTACAATAATTTATGTGCTGTTCCTTAAACTTAATTTTTTCTTTTTTTAATTCTGGAATGAAAATTGTTTTTGTAAACTTGCTAGTCTAATCTATAATCATATTTTGTTACTATGAAAAGTCACATACTTATAAGCTTCATTTTTATTTATTTTTTATTTTCGGTTGTAGACTGCAAGCCCCTGAGACTTGCCTATAACAAGTGCTTTTAGCCACTAGGCGAATTGATCTGTCCTATATATAGATTGTTCATGTGTGTGTTTGTTTGTGTGCCGCAGCTCACCTCATCGGAGTGTGTAGGCCACGCTCCAGTGATTTTACTCAAAGAGTTCATTGACACCAAGGTTCTAACAGTAGAACGATGTTAATACGCAAGCAGGTGCCAATATTTGTATTTTATACCACCAGTCACTTCACCGTGAAGTGTGTGATGTGTGAGAGCTAGAAGTCTATCAGTCAAAATTTTAGAAATAAAATTAAAAACTATACGGTAATGCCTCTAGTTAGATCTAACATCGTGCGAAATTAAATCACTGAACGAACGGAATGAACTTTTTTTTACAGAAGTGGGTCAAAATGTTAGGGTTAGTTCCCCTGAATACTAGCAGTCAATAAACTCTCTTTCGCTCATCGCCCCCTCCCACGCGTGATAAACGAACCGTGCTAATTCTTTACTCACGTTCAGTGAAGTAAATTCAGGGGAGAAAATCGATGTAAACTTACAGCCCGAGTCTCGTGGTTCTGACTGACTGACTACCTGTACACATCTCTTCTATCGCACAGCTAAACAAAGTTTTCACCACGCTAAACCATGTCAAGAGGCTAAGGTCAGACTCAGAGTGCTGAAATTCTTTCCACGTGCTGGGCTAGTGATGCAGACGATTAGGCATGTTTGTGTGCCGGTGGTATGTTAATAATAAATAAAGGTCAGTAGCATTGTCGGTTCCATGGGAAAGATGATACGGTAATTTACACAAGTCAAGTGCTGTATGAACTGCCTGCTATTATTTTCTCTTAAGAAAATTTAGAGACTGGAGTGAATTAAAAAAAAAGAGGGGGGGGGGAGGTTGTAGAATAGATATTTGATTATTGTTTCATGTTATAGTTTTATTTGTTGCAGGGGGTGTATTAATTTCCACGAGAATGTGTTAGAGCAACAAATCAACCTCCCAGCAACCACTACACATTGACTACCCCTGTAATGCCTCTGACGGAACTCCACGCCTCCATCTCAGAAAACCATGCCGAGAGAGTTCTACACCTGATCCAGTCGGGAGCAGACGTCAACCAGCTCCTCAGGCAAGAGACGGCCTTCACACGGGCCGTAGAAGAGAAGCGTTTCGACTGCGCTGACGTCATCATAAGCTCAGAAAACTTTGACCCTGTTGTCGGCAACCAGTTTTCAAGGTCCCCGATATTTGTAGCGGCTAAGCAGGGTAGGACCGACTATGTAGAAAAACTGATTGGCCTCGGTGGCGATTTGAACGCCCCTGACATTAAAGGTCTTACTCCCCTGCACATATCCGCCATATACAACACACATACGACCGCTGAGCTGTTGATTCAAAATGGCGCCAAGATAGACAGTGTGGACGCTTCTGGCCTGACGCCCCTGCTTCACGCCTGCACGAATGTTAGCCTTGAGACGGTCCAAGTTCTGATTGCCAATCACTGCAATGTCCAAGCGTTGTCTAAAGACCTGTGCTCAGCACTGATGCTGTCCCTGCCCACCTATTACAACATACAGGTGGCAGGCAAGAAACTGACCACCATGCTCAGCATCTGTGAGCTGGTTCTGGCAGCAGGCTGTGACGTCAACTGTCAGGACGACAAAGGCTGGTCAGCTCTCCACCACGCCGTCAACAACACGGACATCTACGGCTGCACACTTCTAGCTGAACGAAACTGTTTCTTGGACTTGAAGGATAAAGCCGGTCGTACGCCGCTCCAGCTTAGCATTAGTGACGGCAGGCCGAAATATGACATAGCCAGGTTTTTGCTGTATTTTGGTGCCAGAGTTGACAGCAGCACATATTCGACGCATCTTCTGCAGTACGTCACGGAGCCTGAGCACACGGACGAACGGAGCTCTAAGATGCTGTTCTGTCACTTGCTGTACGAGGCTGTTCCACCATCCATGTTGACCACACGTGATGCCATCAGACCGTCAGGAGACAACGTCCCACCAATGAACACGGACAAAACGTGCCCAAGTTCACTTCAACACCATGTGAAAACAGTCATCCGCCGTCATCTCTCAGGGACTAACATCATCCCTAAAATCCGAACCTTGCCTATTGCTAACAACCTGAAGAGGTTTTTAAACTTGGGACTAAATGCGGATAACATAAGCCTGTATGGTTTGTGTCGACTACACATGGCCATAACTGAATTTGACAATGTAAATGTTAAAGCAATAGTTGAAAGTGGCACAGACCTTGACTTGTACATAGACGGGAAGCTTCCCCTAGCAACAGCCATAGACGTAGGAAACCTGGAGGCGGTAAAAATACTATTTGCCATGAGGCCTTCAACGTCACTGTTGAACATCAACACTCAGGGTGACACAGCACTGCATCTAGCAGCTCGACTGGGTGTTACAGAGATTTTAGACGCGGTCATTGAGCGAACAGATAGCATTGACGTGCTAGACAGGGCAGGACGGTCTCCCCTGCAAGTCGCTGTCTTGTCAGGAAGGTTTCAGAATGTTATTTCACTTCTCCGACGTGGTGCTAAAATTTGGGATTTTGAAGGAGACGCTCCCATGATGCATTTGGCAGCAGGAAGTGGGGCGTCTGATGTGGTGGGAGAGTTCATTAAACGTAACATTGATCCCAATCTTCGGGATACTAATGGAAATACTCCACTTCATATTGCAGCGTCAAGGGTAGGAACTTATCTAGTGTTATGATACAGAACGGTTTTGTTTTATTTTGTGAAAATAAAAATTAGGACAAAATGTATTTAAAATTCATTTTTATTTTATAATCATTGTATTTCTGTTAAAATACTCCAAAATCTAAATCACACAGGCCTATATATCTTAGAAAATATTGTTGGCATGTTGTGGCAAAATTTAATTTTTTTAATTTGATGATTCAGGGCATCTAACATTTCCAATAATTCTATTTCAGGGTGGTGAGTACTTAAAAGAAGGCACTGAAATGCCAGCGCTCTATGATCACAAAGCACTAGCATCCCTTGACTTTGTGAAGTGCACTTTGACAGGACAGAATCCATCTTTAACAAAGTCCAACCTGGACTATGTTGGTGTTGTAAATCGTCTGCTAGAGGCAGGAGCAGACGTGGACATGCTGAACTACAACGGCCACACGCCCATGAAGATGGCCCAGACATACAAGTCCGATGCTATTGTTGATTTGTTCAAACTATCACATTTAAAATAGGAAGGCAACGTGGGAGATAGTGAACATTCAGACATGAAATTGTTACAAACAATTTAATAACCCACTTACAAAAAAGAAAAAAAACGTGTCGACCCCTAAAGCAAACATAAAAACTGGACAGTTTTAGTGGCATTCTGATATGTAGTTCAGTTAATGGTGCAATGTATTTATCTACTCTAACTCACAGAATAAATGTATAAATTGTATTGGCCGCGTGTTTGCTTGTATATGGTGTGGTAGACGAGTGCATACGCATATATTTTATATTGTTTTCATTTCACTCATTGTTTCTACAATAATAAAGTGAGCAATAAAACTCATCAAACAGTTATACACAGTTATTTTTATATTGTTTTTATTTCACTCATTGTTCCTACAATAATAAAGTGAGCAATAAAACTCATCAACAGTTATACACAGTTATTTTTATATTGTTTTCATTTCACTCATTGTTTCTACAATAATAAAGTGAGCAATAAAACTCATCTAGTTAAACTAGTAGCTTGGTAATGTATAACGATAACCCTCCTACTTTTTGGGATCACATCTTAACCAAACAAAAAAAAACATGATTTGTTAGTTATCATATAAGTTGATATAGCCTTGCAGTTGTTTATAAACTTATTACAATGAGCATTTTAGACATTTTATATGATCACTCTTCTAGAACAAGAACCTCAAATCAGAGGCGTAGCGACCCCTCCCGTCGCCAGGGAACAAACTTTCAATTTGGCGCCCCCCCCCTCCCCCATATTTTGTTCTGTTTATAATTCAAAACTGCAGCTAAAATGAGCTCCCATTTTGGCGCCCCTAGGGTCGCGCCCGGGGACATATGTACCCACCCGCCCACCCTTCGCTACTCCTCTGCCTCAAATATTTTTCGACTGAATTTTAAATTTTGTAGAGAGTGTAGTCATATTGATTCATGTCTAAATTATTTCACTGCTGCTACTTCAACTTCAACATTTGCGTGGATTATACAATTTATTAACTATCATTGTCAGCTTTCAAATTACAAATTGTAAATGTTGCCTAACAAATTCTTTAAGCTTTTTCTTCATCTCTTAGATTTATAAGATGCTATTCTCTACATCTCTGTATTAATCTGTTTTTGAGTTATAACCAAAGTAATATTTTTAACTTTTATTTGTAATGCCATATTTTCTAATATATATATATATATATATATATATATATATATATATATATATATATATATATATATACATATATATATACATATATATATATATATATATATATATATATTTATTTATTTATTTATTTATTTATTTATTTATTTATATATATGCCAGCACCTTCTATTTGGATTTAAGCAAATAGTTTTCTGTCTTCCATGTTTGCAAATAAGCTTGGGTCCTGGCCAACAATTTTGTTGAAGTTTTTAAGTTGAGCGGGGTGTAAATAATTTCCTGATCTTCCTCGTCTTTAACACTTTATTTTTTTTTTATCTGCGCTGGCCTTAAGCTCTGAGTTTTAACTATACACACACGGTACTTTAAATGTCTTGGTGAAAGTTCTGGTAAAACTGGACTAATCTCTGTACTATAAAACAGAGGTCTCCAAACTTTTCAGTCCGAGGGCCGCATTAACTATCAAATTTCAGTTCGGGGGCCAGTTTCTTCCAGGCAAGTCTTTGATTTTTCTGGGCAGAGTTCCTCAGCCATCACCAACAAACGTTTTTGCCGTGCACAAAAAGATTTCCGCGGGCCGGAGACCCTATAAAAGATTGTTCAATACAATATAAATTTTTACTTAATTGAGAAGTTAGAATATTAGATGTCCCTTCTGCAACTAAAGAAAGTGGAGTTGAGGGTAAATCAGTTAGTGCTCTCCATCTCTTCCTGTCCATGAGCTATAAAGGGTGAGCTTAAAGATTCTGTTATTTTATTCCAATAGAAATGTACATTGTTGAGATAGACATTTTCTTTTGACTGCAGACACACCAGTTTTTTTTTTTATTTTATTAGCGACATGAAATTTCAACATTTCTAAATGTGAGTCTGTTTTAGATTCATTTTAATTACTTAAGAGTGAAAAGCCAATATGCAAAGTGACCATTCATAATTGGTGTTGTCACTTCAGAATAAGTATCACAAAGAAAGGTACCTTGAGCTGGAGTTTTTTGCCTACATTGTCCATGCTAACAAATAATGTGTTTAATAAACTCTCCTGAAAGAGTTGCCTGGAAGAACCCCCCCCCCCCCCCTCCCCTGATGAGATGCACAAAAACAACTGCTCCGGTTGGTGGAATATTATACAGTACAGTAAAAACGGAAAGATCTCATATTTTTAATTTTATTCACATAATTAAAGTGTGTTTACTTTATTGATTGTAATTATAAAATTATTTTAATATATTTTTAAATGACAGGCCTAATCTAGTAATCTAGATTAACAAAGCCAAACTAGGGCCTAGGCCTGGACAAATACACATTTTTAAACAATCATAAATAAGGGAAGCTACTCTGAAAATTTATGTACATCCGGGGTATTTTCTTCCATGTTGACGACCGGTAGTTGAAGGACGAAGAATGTTGTCCGCTATTAGAACAGGTAATCTTTTAACGTTCTTGACAATTTTTTGAAACTTAACTTTAGAAGTTAGATCTATACTATAAGCTATAAATACCAACCCGTTTCTATATCTAATAGTTGTCTTATTACAGTTAAATTAGTCTATATATTTGTGCACACTGTGGCACTAATCACACAGACTAAACAATTGGCCAACAATTTTTTCAACTTAATTCTGCTTTAATTTAGTAGACCCCTATAAATTTAGTTAGGCCTTAGGCCTAAAACTGGAAATTAGAATACATAGGCTTATTTATTATTTATATTAGCCTTTTGCTGGAGAGTAATTCTATGCTATTATTTTCATTCTATGTCAAATAAGATTCAGGTGCCTTGAACCAAAAAAAAATCCCCTTTGCTTCAGCTTATTGATGGTAGGCCGTTCGAATTCACAGCTTCCGGGTTTGTTGTTTTGAAGCCATCTCACGGCTCATGCGCTTACCAAAAATGGCGACCAGTTTCGCTTTCACTAATGGGTAGAGCGATAAAACTAATGATTACGAAGCCATCGTTAATTTAAGAAATCGGAACTATCCGTTTCTATTTAAGTCTGTTATTTAAGAATTGTCGGATCTACTTTTGGCCTAATTTCTATGTTTGTCTCGCAAGCGGCGCCTTAGTGAAAGTAGCTCTATATAATTCTTATCTTTCGAATCAAATAACTATAAAATACCGCAGGTATTTTTAACCAGACTATTGCTATTTTTTACTTGAAAGCATTAATTTTACACACGTTACAATAAACTGGTAATAATTTATGGTAGGCATGAGATATGCTCTGTAAGAATAATAATGCCATTTTATTATAATCTTTTTTGGTGAACACGAAGCGCGGGAAAATGTGTGACGCGCAAGAATCCAATCATTCGGCTAGATTTATGACTGTTTTTTATGTCACACCTAAAAATAGAATGTTTACGCTTTCTTCATTGATCGTTTTCATTATGTTTTTAAACTGAAAGTATGAATTATTAGTTAGATTTCAGGTTTTGTAACTTGGTATACTTACCCTTTATCAAAATTAAAAGCATAGCATGCTGATTGTGAACAAATATAGTCATAAAACACAAATATAAAGTTACAAACAATGCGATGTCGGGATGTGCCACACCCCCTCAAGAAAACACGTGTTTATTAAGCTGTTTATCTCACTTTACAACAGTAATTAAAATTAATTTTCAAATTTTTATCACTTATTGGGTAAGATTAAGCACATATTTACTAAAAATGAAAAAAAAAACAAAAGCAAATTCTGTTTTAATGAAGGTCACGGGTCAAGTTTTTTTTTCCTTCTGTTATGTTCAGTGGAGGGTGCCACAGGCTGACCTGACTTTGGAATTTTTTTCAGTAATAATGACTTTGCACAGAAAGTTAAAATATGCTAAATTGGCTTAGTTTACTAGTGTGCAAGCTATTATTGATACATTTTTAATAAAAAAATCATTCTGTAATTCTCATCAAAAAGCCTATTGATGGTGTTCAGCTCAGCAGTATGCTCTTGATAGGCCGTTCGATTCACAGCTTCCGGGTTTGTTGTTTTGAAGCCATCTCATGGCTCATGCGCTTACCAAAAATGGCGACCAGTTTTGCTTTCACTAATGGGTAGAGGGATAAAACTAATGATTACGAAGCCATCGTTAATTTTAGAAATCGGAACTAGATCTATCTGTTTCTATTTAGGCCCTAAGTCTGTTATTTAAGAATTGTCGGATCTACTTTTGGCCTAATTTCTTTGTTTGTCTCGCAAGTGGCACCTTAGTGAAAGTAGCTCTATATAATTCTTATCTTTCGAATCAAATAACTTAATTTTCAAATTTTCATTACTTATTGGGTAAGACTAAGCACATGTTTACTGATAGTTTAAAAAAAAAACATAAGTAAATTCTGTTTTAATGAAGGTCACAGGTCAAATATTTTTTCCTTTAGTCAAGTTCAGTGAAAGGTGCCACAGGCTGACCTGACTTTGGAATTTTTTTCAGTAATAATGACTTTGCACAGAAAGTTAAAATGCTAAATTAGCTTAGTTTACTAGTGTTCTAGCTATTCTAGAATTCTGTAATTCTCATCAAAAAGCCTACTCTTGATCTTGGCATTAGTTAACCGCTTAACCCTTTGTACCCGAGTTAACGCTTTATCTGTCCAAGTCTTTAATGTCTATCCCCTGATAATAGTTGATTATAAAGCAGTGCTGTATTAGACAACCTATCCCAGATCAGCAGCCCAAATGCCTACATAAAATTACAATATAAAAAAACAACGTAACGCTGCTGTTAGTTGTTAGATTTGTTAAGTTTTTGTCATAGCTGCTCTCATGAAGTATATTTCTTTTAATGTTTATTTATCATTGACAATTTACAGGAATGTGACTTTTCTGAATTTTAGCAGAATTCCGAATTTTTAGTTTCAGCTGCAAATTTCCTTCGCTCATTTCATTTTCGCCAAATTTTTCCTTCCATTTTCATTTTCAATGTTTGTAGATTTTAAAACTAGGGAAAAAACGGAAATTACCTCTACAGAAACGACAGACATGCACTCCACATTTAAATTGAGAGTTACAGTACTGAGTACATAATTCAGACACTCGTTACTTTTCAATTGGATAATTGCGATTGGTCTGACTGTGCAAAATTAAGATGAAATGCAGATCCAGGTCAAGATTCAGAAGTTCTGTAAATTTCTGAATTTTTCAGAACAATTTTTTAGTCCAAATTGTCCACTGATATTTTCAGTTAAATATTTGTAAAAAACACTGGAAAAATTAATCTAAAATAATGCCGTTCTTCAAATGAATTAACATCTCCCAAGCCTTGTAATCAATCTATCGATAAAGCCTAATTATCTTTTGGTATTTTAATCAGCCCAAATGTACAGTTACTACCAATCTCGAATTGGTATTGAAATCCTTAAACCGCCCCTCCTTGTAGCAATGGTGGCTCTTGTGACCTCACCATTAGGGGGGTTCAGATAGTGTGGTGTCATAATTTTGTATTTTAAAGAAAATTTGGTTCCTGAATTTTAGCAACAATTTCATGTTTTTGAAAACTGTTTGTAATAGAAATTGATTAAAATACCGTATGTTGGTCGAGCTTAGTCAATATTCTAGAAATTTAAAAAAAAAAACAGAGTGGAGAGGGGAGGTAAAAATTGTTTTTAAAAAGTGGCGTCATTTATGGATGACCCCTAACAATTTACAGCTATTCCAAAAACAAAAAAATAGATATTGCTTGGCTACCAAAATGGTTAACTTTGGTTCACATATCGAACCCTTTCTGATTTCATCTAATCTGGTTGATTTCATTTTCCATCACAATTACAAGAACCTAAAACTTTCAATTACCATTAATCTAAATCTAGGCTGTTTACTGTTGAAGATTAACATTTTTACCATGCCAATCTTTAAAAGAAAATAAGGCATAGTTTAAAATTGATTTGTTGATCTTTTTTCAGGGGCTTTTAGGGCTATTGTCCAAGGAAATGGTGCTGTTAAAGTGTTGTGTGCTGCTCCCTCAAGGGAAATAAAAACATTCACTAAGGATGAGAGAGTGGAACAGTGGGACTATGTCAACAGTATCTACTTTGGTCCAGAGAGAGATACCAAAAATTTCCCCACTCCGGTTCAAGCTCTGCGTCCTCCACCTGTTAGGATGGGGTTTATCCCAAATAGCTGGTTCGATTTCTTTTATCCCAAGACTGGTGTTACAGGTAGGAATAAATGTTGTGAAGTGGTTTTGTCGTGTTCTCTTGTTTATTGTAGTGTAAATGGTTTGTTTGTTGTGTATATTGGTTATTCCTCTCTTTAGCAGTTACTACTTTTACTATATCTAAAGAAATAAAATTTTTGTTTTAAACTCTTGTTTTTTAAAAGGACTTAATATATATGTGCCTTGCTTATTCTTTTTTTCTTTCTTGTTATGCTGATACATGATTTATCATTTTAAGGGCCGTACTTGTTTCTTGGTGGCTTGGGACTCTGGATGTTATCCAAAGAAATCATGGTGATTGATCATTACTTCTGGGAAATACCCTCATTTTGGGGTATGATTTATATCATGCATAAACATCCAAAAATAGGACCCAAGATTGCACAGGTGTTTTCAAAGTATAGTGATGTGAGTATTCATACTTTTAATTCATAATCTGTTTTTTTTTTTTTTAGTGTTGAATGAATTAAATGTAATATTTATTATCAACAGCTTGAGGTATACTGGCAGGATATTGCTTGAATATGTTTGTTCACTCTTTTTCTTCATAGAACTACCAAAATATCTACTACACTAGACCACTCAACAAGATGAGAGAAGTTGAAAATGAAACTATTGGCATCATGCAGCGTAAAATTGAAGAGACTGAGTCTGTCAAGCATTTGTATCAGGCTATGCAGGTGAGATTCTCTAAACTTTGATTCAGACTGGGTATGGCAGGTTGGGTGGTTTCTATGTCTATGCTATATGTGGCAATCTCAATAAATAGATCCTTATCCAATTTTACTGTAGATAATGAGGATGGTATGAAAAACTCTTCTGTGCATTTGAAGAAAACAGCTTGACAATAAATGTTACTTTATTTGCAATACACACATTTTGAGCTTTCTAGTTATCAGATACACTAAAATCAATTCTTCATTGTGTCTTACCAACTATCCTCCTAATATATTATTCTACTTCATATATTCTATCATGTTCACAAAACAATAACAAATACTCTAAAATTGATACAAACTAGCTGTACAGCATCTTCATTAACTGTCTGTTCTTTATTACTAGTCCAGTCATATTTAACTCAATGCCAAAACACTTGAATAGTGCTGTAATTGTTAATTATCTGTATTTTTAAGTTAATTTGTTCACTATTTCATTCACTTCCAGGAAGGTGTCCAGCTTCAGTTGGAGTCTGCTTACAGACAGAGACTGCAAACTGCTTATCAGGAAGTTAAGAAAAGATTGGTCAGTAGAAATTTTATTAACTGCTTTCAAGTTAATTACTGAAAAGACAGTAATACTAGACTATATATATATATATATTGTGGCTACATTTTATTATGTGGACATTAATGCTAGTGTATGTAATGTGGCTACTTTATATTGAAGGGACATTTATGCTAGAATATACATTATTTTCATCCAATTGTTGCTATTGATATTGATTTATGCTGTAGCTTCCCTTTTAAACGTGCAAAAATGATGAACATGCTAGTAGACAAGTATCCTTCAGCCTGTTTTATCTAGTAAACTGTAAAATGAATATGTATCATTAACCATGAATTTTTCATGAACTAGGACTATGAAGTAGAGAAGACTAATGTCAAAAGGAAGTTTGAGCAAGAGCATATGGTCAACTGGATTGTGTCTAATGTCACCAAGAGCATAACGGCCCAACAGGTTAGATTTTATTTAGCATAGTAGTCAGCTGTTGGAGTGGGTTTTTTTTTTTTTTTTTTGTTCGTAATTTATTGAAGAGGTGTTTTTATTTGTTTAATTTTGAAAAATCACTTCATTTGCTAAACAATCAAATATTTATTCTAAATTGCCAAAAAGTGGGGTTTTCACTACTTTCCACTGCATATTTCTCTACTAATAATTGCAAGTAGTTAAATAAAATAGTAACAGTTAAAAGCTTAAATTTAGGCTACACTGTGTTTTCTTAAATATTTATAAAGTAGAACTCTTTGTTGCTGAAAGAACATCCCCTTATTGTTTTTTAGTTGCCAAATATTGACAGCTTTTTTACCTACCCTAATCTAATGCTTTGTATTTCCATGCTATGTTAGTTATGGGCTCTAAAATTGGCTTATTGTGAATGCGATTTAATGACCATAGATTTCTTGTAAAACATGTACAACAAATTCTCCATTGTTCTTTAAAAAAAAAAGAATTTTATTCAATTACCAGGGTTGACAAGAAAAACAATTTTTCTATTATTAAAATATACCAATCATGGTGCAGGCAACAAAACACAAAAATGATACCATGTGTGTGAGCTTCTTGTTTGCCAATATGGATCACATTTTTATTAGAACAAAAAACAGTGCTTTAAAAAAAATAACTATAGATTAAATTGTGAAATGTTTATTTAATTTTGACCTACAACTTTAAAAACGCAGGAGTACCTGCATAAAATAGTAATTGTGATTACAATTCTTCTGACCTTTAAGTTTTAACAAGACAAACTAAATGTAAAATTTGCATGTGTGATACTGGTGGCTGGGTGGGAATTTGTCACTGGGTGATCATTTTTTTTTCCCATTTCTTGATTAGTTTGGTCAGCTTAATTCAATCACTAGTGCCTTATTGAATGTCAGCAATTAGTTTTTATTAAGCCTGTCTCTTAACTGGAGGATGATAAAACAAAATTTTTTGAAGTTGCAATTGTTAAAAGTAAAGTATGTAAAATCTGCATCTAAGTTTCACTATATTTTAGCTATTGTAGATTCACTCAGATAAAGAATGAATGTTAACAGCAAAATTTGATGTAAACCTTTGTATTCCAGGAGAAAGATAGCATCAAGAGCTGTATACAGACTTTGAACAGGTTATCGGCCAAGCAGGCACTAGCATAAGTTATTTGACCCCTGACTACTGAATACACTGTCAACATACACTGAGAGGATTTTGTGGTGAATGGAAGATTTCAGAAAATTATACCTGTTCTTGTAAACTGTACAAAGTAAAGACTTTAGATTTAAAGAATGCCTGAGTTGTCTACCATTCAGCTCTACCCTGAAGGTGCTCATCTGATAGTAGAGTTGGTCTGTCAGTGGGAAAGGACTGTAGAATTTTATCATTTATCTGCCTGTTGTTTAGTTTATATTTCAAAAGATTGTTAAGCTTGAAATAAACAACAGCTTTGTATAATTTATCTTGTGTATTCCAAATTATTTCTTGTAGATGTTTGTGTGGCTGTTACCAAGTCAGATTTTTATTCTAGTAGTGTTCAATTAACATTCATTTACTGTACATGTATGTGAATGGTTAACTTTTATGTTTGTTTGGTTACTACTTGCATGTTGTTGCTCAAAGTATATTTAAATCAGCTGATTCATTAAGTCCAACGTTTCTACAAAATGCATGTAATCATTAAAGATTTTTTAAAAATCTGATAAGAAAGTTAGATAAGTGCTCACTTGAAAGAATTCTCTTTGAAATCAACTGTTTAAAAGAAGTCCTGTCCTACAATTAGTCTTGCCTATTATAAGGTGTGTACTCTACTATAGTTTCTATTTTTTTCTACCTAAGTACCACTGGTGGATTGACATGTAATGACCAGTGAAGTACAGTAACAGTTATAGATTTACTCATACTGTGTTGGTCAAATGATCTAATCAGTCTTGATAGGACAGTATGCTGAAGTAAACCAGGACATTGGTTTAGTAGCCTCATAGGACAGTTCTCTGTAAGGTAGATTGATAAGATTGGGATCTGTGAAGTAGATTGATGGGACAGGGATCTGTGAAGTAGATTGATAGGACAGGGATCTGTGAAGTAAATTGATGGGACAGGGATCTGTGAAGTAGATTGATGAGACAGGGATCTGTGAAGTAGATTGATGAGACAGGGATCTGTGAAGTAGATTGATGAGACAGGGATCTGTGAAGTAGATTGATGAGACAGGGATCTGTGAAGTAGATTGATGAGACAGGGATCTGTGAAGTAGATTGATGAGACAGGGATCTGTGAAGTAGATTGATGAGACAGGGATCTGTGAAGTAGATTGATGAGACAGGGATCTGTGAAGTAGATTGATGAGACAGGGATCTGTGAAGTAGATTGATAAGACAGGGATCTGTGAAGTAGATTGATGGGACAGGGATCTGTGAAGTACATTGGTGGGACAGGGATCTGTGAAGTACATTGGTGGGACAGGGATCTGTGAAGTACATTGGTGGGACAGGGATCTGTGAAGTACATTGGTGGGACAAGGATCTGTCGAGTAGTGTGACAGTCCTCAGACATTCAAGTCTTGCCACTCCCAATTATTACATGGCCAATAGTGCAATGGAATATGTGGTCAATAGAAATCAACCTGCCGACAAGTCTAAATACCGATGAATGAAATAAGGAAGGACTGACACACTATCAAGCGTGACTTCACGGAAATCAATCAGCCAGTGGCCTGTGTTGAAACACTTGGCAACTCTCATCAGACTGAGAAATCAGAAAATAAAAAGTTGCTGACAAACGAAATAAACAGTTACTTCCTCACGTAACAATTTCAGAGCCAAATTGATCTCTCCCCCCCCCCCTTCACCCAGAGTACTTAGGCGTGAACTGTCACGTTAGCGGATCACGCCATGCACAGACGGACTGGGTTGTTTTTCTTGGGGAGGTTCAGTTTCCTGGGGTGTAGGTCTGTGAGTAGAGTCAGGGGTGTGGGTTTATGAGTAGAGTCAGGGACTAGTGGGTCTGTGAGTAGAGTCAGGGACTAGTGGGGTGTGGGTCTGTGAGTAGAGTCAGGGACTAGTGGGGTGTGGGTCTGTGAGTAGAGTCAGGGGTGTGGGTCTGTGAGTAGAGTCAGGGGTGTGGGTCTGTGAGTAGAGTCAGGGGTGTGGGTCTGTGAGTAGAGTCAGGGACTAGTGGGGTGTGGGTCTGTGAGTAGAGTCAGGGACTAGTGGGGTGTGGGTCTGTGAGTAGAGTCAGGGACTAGTGGGGGTGTGGGTCTGTGAGTAGAGTCAGGGACTAGTGGGGTGTAGGTCTGTGAGTAGAGTCAGGGACTAGTGGGTCTATGAGTAGACTCAGGGACTAGTGGGGTGTAGGTCTGTGAGTAGAGTCAGGGACTAGTGGGTCTATGAGTAGAGTCAAGGACTAGTGGGGTGTAGGTCTGTGAGTAGAGTCAGGGACTAGTGGGTCTATGAGTAGAGTCAGGGACTAGTGGGGTGTGGGTCTGTGAGTAGAGTCAGGGACTAGTGGGGTGTGGGTCTGTGAGTAGAGTCAGGGACTAGTGGGGTGTGGGTCTGTCAGTAGAGTCAGGGACTAGTGGGGTGTGGGTCTGTGAGTAGAGTCAGGGACTAGTGGGGTGTGGGTCTGTGAGTAGAGTCAGGGACTAGTGGGGTGTAGGTCTGTGAGTAGAGTCAGGGACTAGTGGGGTGTAGGTCTGTGAGTAGAGTCAGGGACTAGTGGGGTGTAGGTCTGTGAGTAGAGTCAGGGACTAGTGGGGTGTAGGTCTGTGAGTAGTCAGGGACTAGTGGGGTGTAGGTCTGTGAGTAGAGTCAGGGACTAGTGGGTCTGTGAGTAGAGTCAGGGACTAGTAGGGTGTAGGTCTGTGAGTAGAGTCAGGGACTAGTGGGGTGTAGGTCTGTGAGTAGAGTCAGGGACTAGTGGGGTGTAGGTCTGTGAGTAGAGTCAGGGACTAGTGGGTCTGTGAGTAGAGTCAGGGACTAGTAGGATGTAGGTCTGTGAGTAGAGTCAGGGGTGTGGGTCTGTGAGTAGAGTCAGGGACTAGTGGGGTGTAGGTCTGTGAGTAGAGTCAGGGGTGTGGGTCTGTGAGTAGAGTCAGGGACTAGTGGGGTGTAGGTCTGTGAGTAGAGTCAGGGACTAGTGGGTCTATGAGTAGAGTCAGGGACTAGTGGGGTGTAGGTCTGTGAGTAGAGTCAGGGGTGTGGGTCTGTGGGTAGAGTCAGGGACTAGTGGGGTGTGGGTCTGTGAGTAGAGTCAGGGACTAGTGGGTGTAGGTCTGTGAGTAGAGTCAGGGACTAGTGGGGTGTAGGTCTGTGAGTAGAGTCAGGGACTAGTGGGGCGTAGGTCTGTGAGTAGAGTCAGGGACTAGTGGGTCTGTGAGTAGAGTCAGGGACTAGTAGGGTGTACGTCTGTGAGTAGAGTCAGGGACTAGTGGGGTGTAGGTCTGTGAGTAGAGTCAGGGACTAGTGGGGTGTAGGTCTGTGAGTAGAGTCAGGGACTAGTGGGTCTGTGAGTAGAGTCAGGGACTAGTAGGATGTAGGTCTGTGAGTAGAGTCAGGGGTGTGGGTCTGTGAGTAGAGTCAGGGACTAGTGGGGTGTAGGTCTGTGAGTAGAGTCAGGGGTGTGGGTCTGTGAGTAGAGTCAGGGACTAGTGGGGTGTAGGTCTGTGAGTAGAGTCAGGGACTAGTGGGTCTATGAGTAGAGTCAGGGACTAGTGGGGTGTAGGTCTGTGAGTAGAGTCAGGGACTAGTGGGTCTATGAGTAGAGTCAGGGACTAGTGGGGTGTGGGTCTATGAGTAGAGTCAGGGGTGTGGGTCTGTGAGTAGAGTCAGGGACTAGTGGGGTGTAGGTCTGTGAGTAGAGTCAGGGGTGTGGGTCTGTGAGTAGAGTCAGGGACTAGTGGGGTGTGGGTCTGTGAGTAGAGTCAGGGACTAGTTGGGTGTGGGTCTGTGAGTAGAGTCAGGGACTAGTGGGGTGTAGGTCTGTGAGTAGAGTCAGGGGTGTGGGTCTGTGAGTAGAGTCAGGGACTAGTGGGGTGTAGGTCTGTGAGTAGAGTCAGGGACTAGTGGGTCTATGAGTAGAGTCAGGGACTAGTGGGGTGTAGGTCTGTGAGTAGAGTCAGGGACTAGTGGGTCTATGAGTAGAGTCAGGGACTAGTGGGGTGTGGGTCTATGAGTAGAGTCAGGGACTAGTGGGGTGTAGGTCTGTGAGTAGAGTCAGGGACTAGTGGGGTGTGGGTCTGTGAGTAGAGTCAGGGACTAGTGGGGTGTGGGTCTGTGAGTAGAGTCAGGGACTAGTGGGGTGTGGGTCTGTGAGTAGAGTCAGGGACTAGTGGGGTGTGGGTCTGTGAGTAGAGTCAGGGACTAGTGGGGTGTGGGTCTGTGAGTAGAGTCAGGGACTAGTGGGGTGTGGGTCTGTGAGTAGAGTCAGGGACTAGTGGGGTGTGGGTCTGTGAGTAAAGTCAGGGACTAGTGGGTCTATGAGTAGAGTCAGGGACTAGTGGGTCTGTGAGTAGAGTCAGAGACTAGTGGGGTGTAGGTCTGTGAGTAGAGTCAGGGACTAGTGGGGTGTGGGTCTGTGAGTAGAGTCAGGGACTAGTGGGGTGTGGGTCTGTGAGTAGAGTCAGGGACTAGTGGGGTGTGGGTCTGTGAGTAGAGTCAGGGACTAGTGGGGTGTGGGTCTGTGAGTAGAGTCAGGGACTAGTGGGGTGTGGGTCTGTGAGTAGAGTCAGGGACTAGTGGGGTGTGGATCTATGAGTAGAGTCAGGGACTAGTGGGGTGTGGATCTATGAGTAGAGTCAGGGACTAGTGGAGTGTAGGTCTGTGAGTAGAGTCAGGGACTAGTGGGGTGCGGGTCTGTGAGTAGAGTCAGGGACTAGTGGGGTGTGAGTAGAGTCAGGGACTAGTGGGGTGTGGGTCTGTGAGTAGAGTCAGGGACTAGTGGGGTGTAGGTCTGTGAGTAGAGTCAGGGACTAGTGGGGTGTGGGTCTATGAGTAGAGTCAGGGGTGTGGGTCTGTGAGTAGAGTCAGGGACTAGTGGGGTGTGGGTCTATGAGTAGAGTCAGGGGTGTGGGTCTGTGAGTAGAGTCAGGGACTCGTGGGGTGTGGGTCTATGAGTAGAGTCAGGGACTAGTGGGGTGTGAGTAGAGTCAGGGACTAGTGGGGTATGTCTAAGAGTAGTCTGGGACTAGCGATGTGGGGTAGAGTGTGGGTCTATGAGTAGAGTCAGGGACAAGCGATGTGGGGGTCTATGAGTAGTCATGGACTGGTAGAGTAGAGTGTGGGTCTATGAGTAAAATTCAAGGACTAGCGATTTGGGGTGCATGGTAGGTCTATATGTAGAGTCAGGGACTAGCGATGTGGGGGTCTGTGAAGGACTGACCACAAAAGACTGACCACTGATGTACAACCAGGACTGATCTCTGACTGAAACAGAACACAGGTCTGCTGACCTACTCTCTAGA